AGGGAACGGTGAGCGGCCAAGTCCGGACTACCTGTACTGCAGCACCAGCTGGAGACATCGCACTCGGAGCGGGCGTTCATCTAAACAACTCTATGATGATGCATTTCTACAAACCACAGACTAAACGGGCAATCCAACCACAGCGAGTGTGAGTGTCAGCACAGCTTCCAGCCAAAAACAAATCGGCGGGCCAGAAACGTATCTGTAGGGATTCCCAAAGCGTTCTTTCAGGAAAAATGGAAGGAATGGAGAAAGGTGGGTGTTTCAACGCCAGCAGAGTGCTGTCCAATGAGAGGAGAGTGAAGATTTAAATGCATATTTCCATTTCAAGGATTGAAAAAAACCCACAACATTAGACCAGTTTGTGGCTCTCCTTCCTGCCCTCTTCTTCTTTATCATCATCACTGTCTCTCTACACTGCACTGTAGTTTCCTTTAATGCCCTCGATGTGAGTTTAGTTCCCTCTCCTTAACAGTGTCCCACCCTGAGGAGAGGCAGGGCTGGTGGGAGGGAATCCTGAGGGGGGTCTGCAGCGGCCTCCCTCAGCCGCAGGAAATAACAGTGAAGCGTTTGGAGATGCAGGACATGTTGTGCAGCACGATGCCCAGGAGGAAGAGCAGCACACACGCCACCAGGATCACTGTGCACACTCCAGACCATGTGGAGCCCTTTCCTGCTCCTCCCACTGGACCAGTAACCCTCCTCTCTCCCTCACTTCCCTCCAAACCTACACCGTCTAGACCCATAGCCAGGCCCAGTGGCTGCTCCTCGGGCACAGTCACCACTGTCACCCCCTTCTGCTGGCTGCCGGGCAAGAAGCGACATCCCAGCTCCCCTGGCAGGCCCAGTGCCCGGTCTTTAGCGATGGGAAGCATGTAGCAGCCATTGCTGGGGAGGCGAATAAAGACAGGCGTGTGCTCAGAGGTGTGAGGGATGGCGATGACGGTGATGATGTCTGGGTCATCCGGGAGGTGAGACACGGACAGGCCCGGGGGGAGCTTGGTGACGCCACGACACCATGGGCAGCGGATCTCCTTCTGGCTGCTGCGCATTTGGGTCAAACACACCGAACAGCATGTGTGTCGGCAATCCAGGAGTTTGGGTCGCCGTCGGGGGCTGTAGTAGTTAAAGCAGATCTGACACTCGAGCATCGAATCCTGGGAAAGAGTCTCCATTTCCAGGAAAAAAGGTATTTTCACAAGAGGGAAAACACAATTTAATCGGCTCTAGAAGAAACGCAGGGGGGGGAAGCAGAGCTGGTTCCGTTCACGACTTCACAGTGATATTACGGCCCTTTGGGGGCAACATGGCCCTTCATCTGCAACAGAAAGAAAAAAAAGGGAAAAAACAACATCAATAAGAATTCATGGTTTTGTACGCACATTGCAGAACTATCTACTGAGGATCTCTTCTTTTTGATATTCATCATTTGATATCAACAGTCTGCAGCATCAGCAGGAACTAAGACTCTTCTGACTCTGGAGAGAAAAAGGACACAGTGCAGCTGCTGTTTGCTTAAAGTCTTTTCACCAAAAACTCATCTCTCGGTAGCTTGCTCATCACTGAATACTCAAACATCGGCTCCAATATTTACCATTTCTCTGATGCAGAAACGTCTTGTTTTTTGTGCCCAAACCCAACCTTTCATGACTGCACCGGTGCTTTTGCCTGCAATTACTGCGGCTTTTAGAAACCGTGCTGCTGAGCTGAGCGGTGTGTGTTTGACCTTTTGAAACAGCAACTAAAAGGTCAACTGACTCACTTGTTCCCAAGCTTTAATCAGCACAGGAAGTAGGTTAAATTTCCATCAGACACCAAC